TTTAAGGGAGAATATTCACAACTGCCTTTTGTCCATTAATCAAAGTACCAGTAATACGCAAAATATAAGTAGAGATCCTATTTACATATTTAGTATTATCACTAACTTCAGTAGGCATAAAATGTATGGGCTGTTTGCTAGATAGGCTTTGTTAGATTAAAGGAGTAGTTCTATTATCGAATTCTGCCACAATATTATTATATGACAGAATACCAGCTATGGTTTCGGTGCTACTATAGCGAACGAGGGGCTAGTTCTAGTATGATCAGTTTGGTCAGAAATAGTTGAGGTATGCATGTTGTTAGTTCAAAAAGTTATAATAACTCTATAAAAATTAGAAATGTTTAATTATTTTTTTGGTAGATGCAAAAAAAAGCAATGGCAAACTTAGCTAACAAATCGTAAAAGAAGATTATCTAGATATACAACTAAAAGTAAAGGTAACTGTGTAATCTATTATAAAAATATTGGCAGAAGCCTTCACCCTGAATATCTTCTGAAACAAGGAATAAGCATATTCTTAATAGGTGATACTTAGAGTAGTCTTCTTCAGAAATATTATATAAAATAATGGAAGAAGACTACTCTATTGTGAGTATGTATCTGGGCATGGCAAGTGATGATATGTACCCGGGTATGTATCTAGGCATATATGGTAAAGGCTTCTCCAGAATTATTATATAAAATATTAAGAGAAGCCTTCATGCGAACTTTGTCAGCAAAATGTAAATGAAAGGTAAACAGATATACATAATATATATTGAATACTTAGAGTAGTAAAGTGCAAAACCTGTTATAAAAATATTGGCACTTACCCACCCTATCACTAGTATAAACCGGGTGTGGTTCGAGAGTAGGTAAGTATGGAATCTTCTCACTTCGTGAGGGCACTTGCCTACCCTATTACGAGTGGTGGCTGATAGTATGTACCCGGGTATCCAGACATATATAGTATGAAGGCTTCTGCGGAATCTATTATATAAATATTGGCAGAAGCCTTCACATGAACTTAGTCAACAAATCATAAATAAAAGGCAAGCAGATATATATCCAAATATATATAGGCAAACTTGGATTGCAAATCATAAAAGAAAGACATCCGGATATATATCAAAAGTGTAGCCTTCTTCAGAATCTTTATATAAAATAATGGAAGAAGGCTACCCTATTACTAGTATGTACTCGAGTATATATAGATACTTAAGGTAGCCAAGTACGCAAAAATATTGGCAGAAGAATACCCTAACACTAGTATGTACTCAGATATATGTGATATATAGTGGATACTTAGGGTAGGCAACTTTGGAAATAATATATAAAATATAGAAATTATCTACCCTGTCATTAATATATACCCGGGCATATATGTCAATTGGATATATAATCTTCTTTGAAAATAATATTGTGGCAGAAGGTTTCATCTAGATATATATTCGGGTATATATGGATACTTAGGGTAGGCAAGTGCGTAATCTATTATATAAATATTAGTACTTGCCTACCATATCACTAGTATGTACACAGGTATGATATGCCATCTAAGGTCATGCCTTCACACTTGGTGATAAATATGGTGACAAATAGATAGTCGAAGCTGGTATATAAATAGTCTGAAACTGGTGAACAAATAGAAGCTTTCTAAAAATTGGCCAAAATTATGATATAATATTAGCCGAAATTAATCACAGATCTACTGCGCCACCCAACATGATTTTTTTTTTTACCACATTTTGGGATCTAGAAAGGCAACCAAATAGGTGCAAAAAGGTAAATACCTCAATATAGAATCTAGCACCCAGACCGGCATAGAGGACCAGCACCCCAACATAGAAGCAGGCATCCAAACAGATATAGAAGGCCAGTACCAACAATATAAAATTTAATATGTAAACAAATCAGGAACAAGAAGGAAATAGCAGTATTTAGATTATATGTTAGAAGTTAAATAGCGGGTGGTAGTTTAATTATATAGTGATAAAAAATATAAATATCAGGAAGGGATTTAAAGAATAGCTAGAATATAAAATAGATACCTGATATAGAAAAATATATAGATTAAATAATAGTTATTAGATTATATTAATCGGATTTTATAATAGTAATTAGATTATATCAATCGAATTTGCGCCTGTAACCTTTCAGATCTTTATCCGCTATTTGAATACCAGGTATGTGTTCTTCATTGTATTTATTTCTATTGATGTTTTTTTATTCACCTTACTAATGATTCTATTCTTTTTCCTTTTGTAATCATTCATCATTAATTTACTTTTAATACACCTGATGTCTACTAATTGGTTTCTTCTTTCGTCATTATATTCTTCAATCACTATTTCATCAATCACAGGTTCTTCTAAAAGTACAAATGTTGCCCTTTTAAGGCCAGACCGAATCATATAGCGATATTTTCATTTTTTTCTATGATTTGACATTAAACTTTTATTGCCAATGACATGGAATTTTTACATTACATCTTACAGTATTTTTCACATTACATTTTGCAGTATTTTTAGCATTATGTTATATAAGATTTTTTACATTACATCTTATAGGATTTTATATTATGTTTTATAATATGTTTTAATTGTATTTTTTTATATTATGTTGTATAGTAT